ATCTTCAAAACTTTAGTACATTATTATTATTTCAATACAAATATGGCCACGCTATACATGTATGCAGGGTTAAATTTAAGATGGAATATTGGGACGTGCCAGGGCTGCAAGGCTGCAGGGTACGAACAGAATGTCTGCAATACGTAAAATATAATATAATTTATAAAATATAAACGTACAATAAATAATAAGAATGCGTGAAACTACGATGTAAATACATTTTTTTTCAAGTATCCCAGACTTAAAGTTCGAGAGAGATATTGTATGGATGGAAAAATAAACTCAAAGTCCAGAATATATAGATAGGTACGGTTTTAAAAAATAAGTTTATCTAAACTCGAAATATCATGCAAATTTAAATCAATATATTGGACATGGACCACTAAAGTGAAAATATTAACACTTTATTTGTGTGTCACATATTATACTTTAAGCAATGTAAATCAAACTGTCAGAACATATAATACGCGTAGGTAATGACTCTAAAAAATGTAGATTTGTCTTAAGAATAATAGGTCAACTTTATCTATGTTTTATCAAAGGTTTATTTTGTTACTATATTATAATATTATTCAAATGTATAATAATGACCTTTATTCTCATCATGAAATCAGTTATGTTTTTTTTTTCAAAACTTAAACAGTACGTCAAAGACTTATATAATATTATGAAGCATAACAGATTAAATATTAAAATGTTTAAAAGTTTTTAAATAAATTCAGTTATGCAAAAATAAAAAGCTTGGTAATGGCGGGGGCGTGGGAAGAATAAAATAAAAATATTTTTCTAAAACGTAGTCAAATAACATATTTATATAGTTTTCTTTATTTAATCAAGATTTCCTATACTAAATCCATAAAAAATATAAAAACTATTACTACTTATATTATTTCATACTCTGTCATTTAATTTAATATTTTTAATTATTTATCTCGTAAATAGTGAGTATGCTTATCAAAAATTAATAATTTCAGTGCGGTTCAATACATTTAATTGGTTTTACAATAATGAGTAGTATGTCTGTTAAAACTTTTCAAGTAGAAAGAGTGTTTCTAAAGTTTCATAATACATATATATAGTCCTACATTGATTGGAAATTCTACACAAACAGTAGGTACCTAGGTACTTTGAAGAGGACATTTTTGTAATTTTCTCGTGGTTTATCGGTAAACTGCGAAAAACTACCGTAAAACCACCGATGCACGTTATTTGCCCAGGTGTTGCTAAATTCATGATGGATATTTTATATTTTTACTTTAGAAATATTTAAGGACTAGCTGATCCCGTGCACTTCGTCGCCCGTTAAATGGATCAACTCAATACTACCTACTCAAACTTTGTTCAATTCATTAACGTGTATGGTGTTCAAAATTTATCTTATCCTTCCCGTTGCCCTGAATAAAAATTCTGAATCGCGGCAGTACATTAGCAGGTAGGCAATCTACCTGCGGTAGATCGCGGACCCCGTGCTGTTTATACGGAAGTGTATGATTTAACTCTAAAGTATCAAAGTTATACCAAGTTTATTTTGAAGTAATACTGTGGATTAATATAATAAATTTGGTTGCTCGTAAAAAATCGCAACTCTTAAAAAAATTATGATTGTTGAACTCCTTTTGGGTGTAATTTTCTGCGGTAAGTGCAACTCTGCCACCCTGGTAAGCATTGTTCAATAATTCGATTTGATGCAAGCTTGTACCTGATCTGCCCGAATAACCAATGGCAACCAATAAATAAATGCTAATTTCTAATGTAGACTGTAACCAATGGCAACTATAAATAAATAAAAATAAAATTTCCAATTTCTATCGTGAATCTCAATGTCCCTGTTTCAGCACCTATTTAAAAATTCGAATTTTGGCAAATCCTTTCTTAGCGCACGTCTATATTATAATAGCTATCTGTATGCCAAATTTCAGCCAGATCCGTCCAATGGTTTGAGCTGTGCGTTGATAGCAGTCAATCAGCTTACTGTTTTTTATATACAGATATGGTTGCCATGGTAATATGGACCCACACACACACATACACACACACTGACATACATTCATTTTTATATATATAGATTAATATTATTTTTTAAAGTTTTACTACATATAAATCTACATATAATTTTATTTTTATGATCACCCTACCTCAGTTTTAACTCCCATGATACATATTTTATACATATTAAATTTACAGCTGATCCCGTGCACTTCGTTGCCCAATAAAAATACCAACTCTATATGAATTATATTGATTATATTAATCTCGATATTCATTATTAATTATTATCCTTACCTAACTTAAAATGGATTACCCAATATTCGTGCACAGTTTTACACTTGCCATCTACAGAAGTGCTTTTGGATATACAATATTTTTCGTTGTACCGTCCGGTGCGTACACAAATAAATCAACTGGTCTTCTTAAATAACAACCAAATTAACCAATGGCAACCGATAATTATTATTATTATATAGCTTTGAAACCCACGGCAACTATTTATAAACGAAAAAGTCCATATAAAATCTCAAAATCCCTATTTGAGCACAACATCGTCAACATCTCAATGATTATCAATTCACATTAAAAATTACAACTCTACATGAATAATATGTTCTACATATCAAAATGGCAACCATTTATATACAAAACTTTCCATAGGAAGTTACAAAATAAAATATAAAAGGTTGCCATGGTAATGTGGACAGTGTCCACTGGACACACACGGACTATATATATAAAATATCTGATCCCATGCACTTTGTTGCCCATTAAAGACCTTTTTTGATTATAATAGCTACAACACTCATGGTAACCATGGTACCTTTGGTAACCATGGTAACTATGGTAACCATGGTAACTATGGTAACCATGGTAACTATGGTAACCATGGTAACTATGGATCATGGTAACCTTAATAACCATGAAACCTTAGTAACCTTAGTAACCATGGCAACCTTGGTAACCATGGTAACATGGACACACAGACACACAGACTGACATACATTCATTTTTATATATATAGATAAGACATAATTTTTAGCATAATAGTAGGTATATTGGGTATTTTTTATTCTACAGGATGATTCACCAAGAATGCTTACCCCCATTTCTTCCTCTAATAATGAATTTATTCAGATACTGATTTCACATTATCATAAATAATATTTTTAATTCTTGAATTTTTTTGTACTACTTAAAAAATGTCCTGTGGCAATACAAACTTCTGTTTTTAAAATGTGAACCCCTTTTTTACTGTAAGTTATTAAGTGAATATTTTTTTTCAAAATGTTAATGTACCTAACTCAAAATGCAAATGAGTAGTTTCTTAGTTATTAAAATGATGGTATTAAGAATAATAGCCCTTAATGTTAAAAATGGTTCTACATATATATATAAAATAGACGTAAAACTGAATATAGTATTTATTATACTTTTTACAATTAATTAATATTGATGGATTAATATTAATTACTACAATTTTAAAATCTCTATAGCCCCATATCTTATAAACCTATTACCACGGACCTTTTATCCTTAGACCACAAAGTTGAATAATTTAAAAACTACCCGTAGGTATACGAATTTTGATTCTGATACTTCAAACGTTTCAGAAAAATTATCTACTGTATAATTTACAGTTCATAAGGAATGTTCTCATTTGAAAAACAGAAGTATGTATCTGCACAGAATATTCCTTAAGTAGTATCAAAAATCTCAAAAATTTCAAAATAAGGTCTTAATATATACTTAAAAATTCCAAAAACCAGATTTTGAAGAACTGCATTATTGAAGAAAAAAGGGGTTAGGTGCATACTGAGTGAATCACCCTGTATATGGATTTTTTAAAGCTTAAATACTTGTCGTATTTCAGTATTTTACGGATTTTAATATTAATATATTAGATATACCTAACATATTAATTTCAAAGACATCTGAACTATATCCAATATCAATACAAAGTTAACTATATCATATTACTGGACTACTATAAAATATTTTAAACATTTTGACAAACAGTTTATTTATGTAATTGTTATTAAAATAAGCAAAAGCATTAGTGAGGTAAGCTCAGGTGAGGTTTTTTTTTTATTAAAAATGTAAGATAAGAATATAAAATAAATACAAAATTGACTTTTCTCCAGGTTAATTAATGAAGAACAGCGCTTAACGACTAATCCTCAGCGACCTATATAATTATATCCTATACGTATTTTCGATTTATTTAATTTAAATAATACTGTACAATATCAGTTTATTTTTCCAAGTAATGGTAGATACATTTAGTATAGATTATGTCATATTTCAGATTGTGAGATATATAATATTATAATGTATAACAATGAATTATTGTGTACGACCGATTGAAAAATAATTACGCCTATAATAATAGAAACAAAACGATCAATAAATGATCAAATGAATATGTTTCGTTGTTTTAAACTGTTTTAATAATTTTTCTATACACTTACCAGCTAGTTCTACATTTCTACTTAACTCAAATTAATATATAGTTTTAATATTCAAAAGCTATTTAACCTAACAATGCAAGGGGCTTCGGTGGTTGGCCTCAGTCACTAACGTGTTCGGAGGTCAAGCATCAGCTGGAGTCGCTAGTTCCCGGATGGTTTTTTAGGATCCTCGCCCTACATGCACGTGTTCCTCAACGTATGTTCCCTAACCTAACCATAACTCTCCTACAAAATTTTAATGACCATAGTTTCCGATGTTTAAGAACAATAATAAAAAAAAGAAACAACAATGAAAATTTAAATCTTGTCTAGTGGTATATGAACACATAGGTAGGAATGCACTGTTGAAAGTATATACCTGTAATATTACAATAGACGATGTTACTACATGTTGTTAATTATGTTTTTCACCTTCGTGTTAATAATTCACAGTTTTATTAAAGTCATCGTACATTCGTACGTGATGATACAACTGTATTATTAGTCTAACTGCATAAATTATATATATTATTATTGAAAAATTTAACAGTAATCACTCACTTCGATGGCGATCTCAAAATCTTTCTTGTCGATGGTGCCGCTGGAGTTGACGTCTGAAACACACCAAAAATAACAGTTAATAATCGTCCAATTACATCGGGAAAGTGTTTGACAGTTATACGATAACCCATAGACGTCATAATGAAAGATGACGATGGAGAAAGATTTGCAATATCGGGCATCGCATTTTGGAACAGCTGGAGGACACGAGAGTGTATGCTTAGAAAAAATGACCGTCAACATTATAGAAAAACAATTTTATGCTTTTTTTTCGTGATTTAAAATTTAGTTTTTAGTTTTAGACATTTTTAATTTCCAATATTTTATCATAATACTCTATTATAATCCACTTTGCAAGGCATTGAAAAAAAAATTAATTAGGTATACCAATAGTGAGAATCGGATATATGTCAAATTTATAATTCCCTATTTAAATGACTTCAAAGTTGGTATAATTATAATCATACTATATGGGTAGGCTATCGTTAATTGATGACTATAATACCGAAACGTAATCCACCAGGTTGAAATTAAATATTATTATCAATGGCTAATGTTAGTTTGATTAAAATAATAGTATGTAATACTTCCTCTATTATAGTAAATATAATAACATATACATAACATATTAAAATATTTATTGTTATCAAGTGATAAATTGTGTTTGCTAAATGAAATATCAGTAGTAGCATTAATTCGGCATAAATTATATGATTTCACAAAGGAAATAATACCTACAAGCAACAACTATGGGCAAACTTGAAAATATAATTTTTATAGTTTTATTATATAAAATCAATAATGTTTATTGGTAACCATGGCATTGAAAGTAGCGACGGACAAACACAACAGGTAGGTATATAAAAAGTTTTCTACACAGACTATACATAGGTAATAATATCATAGAAACATCATATAACCTACTAAACGTCTAAACGATAAACATGTTCATTTAATATATTTAATTTAATATTAATATTTTATGATAACACGTACATGCACGTACATTGTATAATACAATATGTATACAAGATAAATTGTTGTTTAAGTTCGTAAGATTTTATGGTGAGAATGTTTATACCAAGAATGGATTTTTGAAACTATATTGAACAACAATTGTTTGTTTAACCCACTTTAAACTAAAATACTAAATATTATGTATTCACTAGATCAATTTTTAGAGGAAAACTATTAAGAAACTTTATAGTAGTGTAACTTTTATACTCTTTCAAAAATATTTTCCAATATAATAAGTAACATGTATCAATGAAAAAACCAATAAATTTAAGTGTACTATATTATACCCATTATACATATAGCATTGTACAAAAAAGAATTCAAATATTTCAAATATAATTTGAATCAGAGTATTGGGTGTAAGTTTAATAATTCAATCTAATTAAGTTTGACAATATATTGAGAGTCAATTTTTGATCAATCATTTGCTTACGAAATACATGCACGTAAATATCCAAATCTAATAAGTAATAATTATATTAAACTAACATGATGTAACGTAATATAATATTGAAATAATTACATTTTGCCATTTACAGCTGATGTAGTTAACATGAAAGAGGGACATCATATTATCTTCCGGATATGTTCGTTAATTATTAGTTATTATTATTATCTCAGTAGTAGTAGTAGTAGATACATGCAGGTCAGTGGTTTCTACAAACCTATATATAATACTACCGATGTATGTGCAAATATGGAGTAATTTTTATAAAGTTTGTACTAAATATTATTAATTTTTCTAGTTATATTTTAATAGGCGTAAGTTGTTGAGCGATGTAAGTTTCATTTAAAATTCTGTGTTTCTGATAAAATATACAACTTTATTTATTTTAAAGATTAATAATAAGTTTTTATTACGCACAATTAATTTATATTATTATAACCTAATCCATAGTTAAAATATGTAAAATAACTAGGTCAATGTATTATGATGAACATCAAAACATGTATTGAATATTTTAATACTAGGCTAATATGATGGATTTAATAGGTGGTAAATGTCAAAAAAATGAATCACCAACATTTTATTTTGTTTACTACACTTGAAAAGTTAAAGGCCGTCCTGTAAAAATATATGTCTAATCAAATTCGTTTTCAAATGATAAATATTATTACTCTTATATATTATTTTAATACAACACGGCAGAGTATACAAAATACCTACTTCACTGCCTATTGAGTCTCTTTACTGAATCATGTTCGTTCATGGATAAATGTATTAGTTCCGTTGCTTTCATGCATAAATTATTTTGCATATTATATTAATAGATTTTAAGAAAATAATAATGTGTATAATGTACAGTATACACTGCAGTAAACTAGTAGTTAATAAACTAAGTGCTGAACTTTGCTGTTTAAATATTATAACTTTTTGTATGGTTTGCAAATCCTTATATAACAATTCTACCGAAAGTAATAAAGTTTGAGGAGCAACCTTCCATATATATTATATTATGGTGTTTTTAACTTATTTTTATCCTGTCAATTTGCATTAATTATGAGTGTATACTATTTATACAAGAATATTGAAATTAATTTACTTTTTCGTACCTAATAAAAAAAATATTACATAGAAGATAATATAATATCAGCATATCTGTTAATTTAAAAGAAGCGTAGTAATACATTAACGAAAAATGTATTTTTTATGAACTGTTTTGTTTATGATTTTTGAGTATATATATATATATATTAGGTAGGTACTTAAAAAAAAAACCGATAGTATTATATGATAAAACTTTTTAAATATTTATACTCCATTATTGAGTATGATTGATCGGATAAACATTGAAAAGTGCTGTGTTTGCTAATAATCAATATATTATTTTTTTACTATATTATATTCTGATACTAAACAATTTCTATGTATTATTATTATTTTTAATATATCCGAAATAAACAGACTAGCCGGGGTCTTTTTTTTTTATTATTTATTCCTCCCTTGACATCATTTTCGTACAAAATTGTTATCGGGCTGCTGTGTTCTCTCTAAGATGATATAATAAATTAGTTAAGATAATAGTGTACGTTTATTTTAAAATTAACATAATTTAATCGCGAGACATCAAATAGCATACGCTATAAAAATGTTTGTAAATATTGACCTTTTCTTCTTCAGCGAAAGCTGTTTAACTACTGATAACGATAAATCTGTTAACCCAGTGCATTATAATCTCTTTTGTTGGATTTTCGTCGGCCAGCTTCCTTGTGCGTTAGCCCAACATTTAGCCCTTTGTCGTAACTAATATAATATGAGGTTGTGAAATGAACCGGAGAGACGATGACATTCGAAAGTCGGCATCTCGACCCGGCTTAGAGCATGTATATATGTAGGTACCGATAAATACCACAAAATGTTCGAACGACTGCAAATAACGGACGGCAGAAGTAATGATATGACCGAACTGTATTCTAGACAGAAGTGACCTGCGAATACTACGACGGGCAGTGTTTTTTAAAAAAAATACTTTTAAAAAGTGGTGTTTGATTAAGTGTGTGCAATAAATATTAAAAACAAGTACGTATTTAAAACACAACTCGAATACTTTAACAGTGTACATATTAAAATGCTTTCAAATATTAAAAAAAAAGTTGTCACCATCATACGCTATGGTGTTTTTATGTCTAAATAAAAAAAGGTACATGGTTTTGGGTTTTCTTTATTAAGTCTAAAAATAGATAGTTGCATTTAGGAGAGGCAAGAACTTGTGGTATAGGACTTAGTTTGTTTTTAGTGTAATTAGTTTTCCTCCGGGATATTCTCTAGAGCTTTAAAAACTGTTTAATTTACACTAATATATTAATGACTCGCGCACAGTCATAGTGCAACCCATTTAGATTAGACTACGAAAACAATCGTGTCATGAATGTAAACAATAATTATTGTGTCATGAATGTAGGTAAACAACAGCCCTGCTTTGGTTAACAATTCGATATTATCTTAAATAAATTGTTTATTTTTGTATTCTTAAACGAAGTTGTATGTATGAAACTAAAATATAAGCTATTATAAATACATTGAAAAAAAAACTATCTACCTATTCAATATGCATTGACGTTCTTAAACGTCGGTACCGACGTTTTTTTATTTAAAATAAATATTAAACACGCATGGGAATAAAAGGGTTTAAAAAAAAGTAATCGAGTACAAGAGTACCTACCTACGTAGGTATTATTATTATTATGTAAATATTGCATATGGCGGTATTCAAAATAATACTTTTCAATGCTAGCTCCCGAGAGACGCCCCGGAAGTTAACCGACGTTCGTCCCCGATGTACTTTACTTAAATGTTGAATGTCCAACATGTTGAAACAGTCTATACTTGACCGACTTTATAATCTCAGAGTGTTCATATACGGCATCATTCTCGATCACTGGTCACTGGGACATATTTTCACCTTCGATCGGTCAAGGACACGTCACACCCCGAGATCGTACGTGACTGACCAGTGACGACTCTAGATATTATATAGGTAGTGTCCTGTCCTGACGGTTTCCTTATAAATAAGGTGAAGAAATTAGTTCTCTTTAACTCTTCAACTATCCCGTTTAAAGGACTCTGAAGGATTCTCTCAGACTGAGACTCCGAGATATTATACAGTGTCCTGCCCGGACGGTTTCCTTAATGAGGTGAAGAAATGAATTCTCTTTGAACTATCCGTTTAAAGGACTCGGAAGGATTCTTTCAGGCCGTGACCACATATTTATAATATAATCTGTGCTGTGTATAGAACTCAGATGATCACGTTATCTTGGTCGCATCTATCAATGTCGTGAAACACGGAGACGATAATACGCAATATAAATCGAATTATTTTTTAGTTTCGGATGATTAGGTGACTTTATGCTTTTTTTAAATACTTCGTAACTTTGATTGTCTCGTTTGTGCAGTATTCATAAAGTTTATAAATAATATAATATATATAAAATGTATGAAATTATTGTATAAAAAGTTATCCTTTTAAAAAAAGAAGAAAAATGATGAATGGTTATCCAGCAATAAATTAAAAAGTTTGTGCTTTTTTCATAC